TATTTTTTAAATTTATTCTGGGCCAGCTTTAGCTCTGGCTCCAGCTCTGAGGCCTCTTCTGCTGAAAGCAGGTATCTGGTTTGTTTGGGTTCTATAGTTGATACACTGTATAACTCCAGCTCTGAGATCTCGGCAGCTGAAAGCAGGTTTCTGGGGTTTTGTTTAGCTTCTATATTTGTTACAATGTTTCAAACTGCAAGCTCAGAGGCCGTCAAGGCAGGTGGGGAATGTTGGAGTCCTCTATCGCTGAAGCAAGCAAGCCTCATGTTCGCTTCCAGCTGCCTGGCTGCCGGCCGCCATCTTGGCTGGCAGTTCATTTGCATATCGCCCTGATTAGCCAATGGGAAGGGTAGCAGTCATATGCTAATTACCATGTTTCTCTTTTATTAGATAGGCTCGCTCTATCTATCTATCTATCTATCTATCAAGAGCCAGGGTCTGTAATGTCCAAAATGACGAGATGGATGACTGAACACCAGCCTAGGGAGCTGAGGGAGCGGGAGCTGTGGGTCCAAATGACCAAAGGACCGGTCTGGCTCTCACGGCATGGCGGGGCAGTGCCTCGGAGGCTGAGGAGCCTTGTAGGGCGGGGGCTTTGAGCATGGAGCTTAGCGGTGCGGTGAGGCAGAGGAGCATCATGGGCAGGGGTGGTGAGCGTGGAGCATTGCGGAGCTGCTGAGGCAGAGGAGCATTGTGGCATGGGGTTGGCTGAAACCAAGGAGCCCCATGGGCCAGGGGCTGTTAGCGTGGAGTTTCATTGAGCTGCTGAGGCAGAAGTGCATTGTGGGGCATGGGCAGCAGAGGCCGAGGAGCCTCATGGGGCGGGGGCTATTAGTGTGGAGCGTTGCAGTGCAGCAGAGGCAGGGTGGGGCCTGTGAGTGAGGAGCTTTGCAGGGTGGCTAAGGCCGAGGAGCCTCATGGGGCTGGGACTGTGAGCGTGGAGGTTCACGGGGCAGGGGCCACGGAGGTGGAGGAGTGACGCTGGGCAGTGGACATGGTGCTAATTGCAGCTAGGCCTAGGGACTCGGCACAATTTAATTGTGCGCTGGACCTCTAGTCCTATATAATAAAGAGATAATAATATGCAAATTGACCTCAGACAAGATGGCTGCCACAAGATAGTCAGCAGTTGAGGGCAGTTGTGGGTGATCAGGCCAGCAGGGGAGGGCAGTTAGGGGCGACTAGGCCTGCAGGGGAGGGCAGTTAGGGGCGACCAGGCCTGCAGGAGAGGGCACTTGGGGGCAACCAGGCCTGCAGGGGAGTGGTGATCCAACAGGCAGGCAGAAGCACTTAGGGCCATGGTCAGCAAACTGTGGCTCGCAAGCCACATGTGGCTCTTTGGCCCCTCGAGTGTGGCTCTTTCTAAGCCTTAGGAATATCCTAATTAAGTTAATAACATT